TTGACGATCAAGGGCTCTTTTCCATTATTTTGCATTTTCCGGCACTTAGAATCTCCAGAGAATGCTTTTTAACGAGACGAATTTACCGAGTAGAGCGGTTGAATAATAAACAACTGTTTGGGGCCTGTCCAAGAGTTCAATATATCGTGGGGAAACTTAAAGGGAAATCTGCCAAAGCCGAAAAAATCGACAAGGACACGAGACGCTCGATCAAATTTTGCATATTATGCATAAAATACAACATTTTTCCCCAGATACCTAACAGTCTTAAGACCAATGGTAGTTTTAGAAATCAACATATTTTAGTACATCCACTTTATGATAAAATAACAGTTACTTTTTTATTTCCTTGTCTCAACTGTCACTTCTTGCATGACTTTTACACATTCAAAAATTCAATAATCGTAAAATCTGGAAGTGATGAAAAACTGGATAACAAGTGTAGGTACAAGTGCACTTTAGATCTTGTCAATGTTACGAGTTGTTTGTGTACAAAAATAAAAATTAGACGAAAGCACCTGAAAGCTTATTAACACTTTAATAAATACCAAGTCTCGGCTTATAAAAGCCTGTTTAATATTAAAATCAGCAAACAGAACACAAACCGCCGATATTATTGATTGAAAAAACGTCACGCAACTTCGTAAAGTTCTTTTTATACAACATTGCGTTAATAGAAAACACCTAAATATAACTCTTATTCCCGAAATTCACCCTATTAAGAGAGTAATTAAGTTGAATTTTATTTTCACCCACGAGTATACATTCACGAGCATTATTATAGTCAAGCCCTAATCCAATTTCCTGTCTTATCGATATTTTAAAGCTCTTTCAGGTGTGCTAGGTGGGAATCACTCGCAAGCGATCAATGCGTTCTCTACTAAATAGATCTTGTGAAAAAAATTGTTTTCCGCGTATTGATTCCAAGGGAGGTTTTTACCTTGTTAGAGGTGACACCGTTGTTTTCGTGTAAGGAGGTTATTAATAGACAGTGACTAGAAACAAGTGGTATAAACGTGGATCGGGATATACACCGTACTGTCTGATACCGATTCGAGGGCTTTGGTGTTCTGTTACCAGAAGATATCGACGAAACCCGCATCCTTTGGCGAGAGTACATGCCAGGAAAATCACAAAACTAGCGGAATTTGGGCTCAAGCATGCAGTAGCAGTTTTCAACAGAACGATAAAGTTGCTATTTGGATAGTTTGGACTTTTGTTTGGATCAAGTTTCAAAACCTATTTTTGTTTATTCCCCGAAAACAAGAAATTGTCGGCGGTGTGAAAAACAAAATACAAGCACTTGAAACTCTCAAACATTGTTGTAATTTGTAACAGTTTGTTACCGATAATTACTCTGAAGTGGCAAATTAAAATAAAGTTCTTAAAACTACTATTAGTAAAGTAATAAAGATAAAGAACTACAAGTACTTTAAAATTGCTCCAAAGACAGTATGAAAGTTTCCGTCGTCAGGAAGTCGAAAAATGATAACGAAAGGTAATTAAAACGCTGTTTTACTATAAACTCCTTATTTTAATAGTAAATCAATTTGACGTAAAAAAATTGTCGCTTTAGTTGAGTTCTACTGTAGTATTTTTTTTTTGGTTTTCTTTCGTTCGTTGTGAGATCTTAAAATTTCCATTAGAGAAATAACTTCCAAACGCTGCAATTCAAGACTCGTATTTTTTCGTAAACTTAGTCAAAATGATATGCAAATTGCTTTGAAGAAACAATTAGCGCAATTTAAAATTCAATTATTCAAGAGAGTGAACAATTTAATTGCGAAGTAATGAAATTTAAAACGTTCCCTGATTCTCTTATAACTTAATAAGTTTCCAAACAAACCGTTCGCAAACTTAAATGAAATTCTGGATGGGATTAATAAATTTGTCTCTCGCATTTAATTACCGAGTCATTCATTATAGCCGTGAGAATTGCTCAAGAGTGGGCAAAATTCCTCTCATATTCATGCAGTTATATTCTTGACCCTTCAATTTTAGTTTAAGTAATTGTTTATTAAAACTAGTTGGTACCTGTGGTATTTTTGAGCGGAATTGCAAATATTTGAAGTGGCCGCCCGTCAACACCGCGATAAACAGTTCTCTTCGATAGTGAGGAACTTTAAATATTTATCTCATAAATCTCTCAAAAAACAAATATTTCCTCTAACTAAGCGTTGGATAATGTCTAACATATTAATTAATTCCGGCATAATCGATACGGATTAAAACTGATCTTAGATGGAAAACTGCAAGCATTCCTCGGCTAATATCAGATTCTGCCGACTTGGACGAATTTATTTATACAGGTCACGCCACTTTTTTCTTTTCTTTTTCCTTCTTCCTAGTGACCCTTTATTGACTATGCATGGCTCGATATCTTCCACAAAGTCCTAAACACGCGACCTCTAGATACATTTTTTATAGAGACCCAATTGAGTCGAACTTAATTTTCCAACATTTTACATAAAAAGCCAATAACGAGAGGTCATTAGGTACGATGATGACCTCTTTTTACCATCAAACGACGCTTCCGGAATGATTTTAACTTACTATAAAGGTGGCAATATTAATAAAGCGTTTTAGGGTCAAATAATTATTTATACAAACAGGAAATTCAGTATCGATTATTTTCAAAAAATTATAGATGAGCTTTGATGAAAATTAACCACTATTTCCGATTAAAGCGGAAGTCCGGAGTTAGTTTAAGCCCTCAAGGGACTAGTTCGGTTACCCCTTTAAATAAAATTTTCATTGATTAAAACGTAATGAACTAATTAAAACTGCTGAATCGCAAATTCGCGTTACACTTCGTAAACTAAATTTACAGGGAAAATAAGCAAACTCAGAATGACAATCAGCGAATAAATTTTTAATATGTAAGTGATTTTTCACTTCGAAATTTAACAAGAAGTCGGTAAAACTGCATTGCAAAAAAATCGCCGACGCTTGTGGTTTGAGTTATGAATGAAACAATTTCAACCGTTGCGAAATAGAACGTATTTTAAGTTGGGTAAATGTAACAATTTTAAAAATCCACTAATTTCCTCGACATGATAGTAAAATTCGCTTTACGACACGACGATGAGCGGTCATAATGTTATATGAGGTGCTTGGCATGCATCGAGCGCTGTTTCAATTAATTTAAAAGCAATAGAAATGTTTGCGTAACGAATTTATTGATTGTTAAAACCTCGAAGTCTGGATGCAACGATCGTTTCAGTAGCGTTTTGTTTATTAATTTTTCAGATGGATCCGGTCATCGTCTAAAAATAAAATTATTGCAACAAATTGTCTATTAATCGGACTACAACCAAATGTCGGGACATTATTTTTAAGTAATGACGAAAGTTGCGGACTTGCAAAGCGAGATTTTATTAGCGCACCAATGGAGTTTTGATTTCGTGCGGGGCTAAAATGCGACACGCGAATAAAATCGCTCAAAATAAATTTTACTTCGATCATATCGACAACTTCAATTTTCATCTTTCGATGATATTTACTCAGAAATGGTCTGATGGAACTAGACTAATGGATTCTTTTTCAAAAAATATTAAGTGACGCATTTTGAAAGCAAGTTAACAGTAATCACAATCAACTTGAAAGCTTACATTAGAAATAACATAACTTTCCAAGAATCGGGTCCGACAAACAAACCCTTTACCAACTCGAATTTATCAAATTCACAATAAAATTAAAATGATTTATTTGTAGTTTTAGCTAAATTCCGTCTAAAAAAGTTAATTTAAAAGATGTTACAACCTACTTTTGCCATTGCTGGATAAGAGATAAAAATGTTTCTTGAATGTCAAACGTAAAAAATACATATTTGATAAAACAGTATTAAGAAATCTATTTTTAATTTTTGATAGATAGAAAGAAATGAGTCATTTAATTCATACAGAAATAAGTATGTAAAAACAATAGTTTTCTTTACGCAATGGAAAAGCACTGAATTTTATGATGAAGGATGAATAAATTTTAAATTATAGTGGAATATGGGGAAATAGCCAGGTGGTGCAAGTGGTGCAGGTTAAAGTTCTGGTCACGCCTCAGCAGTTTTAAACTGGCTAAATTTTTTCCTCCATCAACGTATTTTAGACAATTCTTACAAATGGGGAAAAACCAAAGTTTAGTTAGAAAAGAAGAAGAAATAATGTTGCAAATAAACGTCCTTAAGTATCTTTAAGAAAGTTGACGTAACTACATATTTCGATTATTACAAGTTTTACCTATTTAAAATGAGAGCAATTTCAAATAAAATACAATAATTTAATACATATTCAATTGAGTTTACGATTGAGATTAGATCGAAATACAGAAATAGAAATTGATTTTTCGAAACTGTTCTAACCTTTAGTTAATATATCAATTAGAAGTTAGGACAAGTTAGAAGACGCCAGTATGAAACAATTTATATTTCGTTATTAGATGAAAAAAAAAATACTTTTTTACAGATTGTATGTATTTCCATCTTTCTGTTAAAGACAATATGAAAACTGAAAATTCCAAAAATCTAGAATATTTGGATAAAAGAATTATAAGAAATAGGGGCAGTTTCCGGAAGAGCAGCCAGACTATGTGGTGAAACGCAAAAGAAAGCGAAATTCTATTTGTTTGGCAACAGGATTAATAAACATTCAATAGGAGAATACAAGTGATTTGAATCTAATTTCAATAAAAATGATTCCTCATTGTGGTCAACTCTTCGTGACCTTGAATAATTAAAAAAATATAGCAATTCGTCATTTACGTCTAAAGCTCTTCAAAGAAATTGTGCGACGAGGTCAGAGCCGAGAAGTATTAATTTTTGTTATGTCTGGCGCTTGTTTGATTTTGGGTAAAACTTGGTGTAAAGCCGAGTGCGGAAATCCTCGTTTTCGCGTATATTTCGGCGCTTTTTGGCAATGGTGCGGTAATAAATCTTGTTTTATTTATATCGCACCTGGGTAAAGCGTGTTTCTTACCAAGTGAATTATTTTTAATGTGCGAAAATTTACCTGAGGCAAGCCACAGCAGGGTGGTCCAAGCCGCGACTAAGCAGCAGGCCATGGCCTCTCTCCGCGGCCCCTCACAGAATTGTCAGCCCTTGGGAAGGCGGCCCATGACGGGAGCCGTCACAGCACTAGAAGGGTGGTGATCACGAGCGGAGGTAGCCGCCAGCAATACACATGGTCAGCACTAGGCAGCAGGATATCGCGCGACGCTACTTCTCACCGAAAGACCGTCAGAGACTGAGCTGTGAGCTCAGTTCGCTGCCGAAGGATGTGGACGGCTGTCCGCGCCGGCGCCCGCGTCGAGACGTCCGATACTGCGGATACAACTTTGACACGTAGGTACCACGGAAGTACCGGGGGCGGCTTCGCCGGACGACACCTGGACACCGGAGCCAATCGGGGCGAGACTGGACTTCACCACTCACTCTCTACCTCTTGCACACCTGAACACCAGCTCGATGGCATTTGCTGACGCCAATTTCATTACCGGTGGCGGCTTTATAAAGACAATGAGTGAAAAATCAAAAACGTGACTGTCAAATCTATTAATTGTTTGCTAGCTAATTGTAGAAAGTACGAACTGAATGCAATATTCCGGGTTTCTTCGAGCGGTGATATTTATTTAACACGAGGATTTTGTTGAAACAGAAACTTCGGGTGTGATTTTGAAATGCAAATATTAAAGTTGTGAGAAGGAAATCATCGCACAGTTAGTTTTTGGCACTTGATGTCAAAAAATAGAACAAGCAGACATTTAGATACACAACCACGTTTATTCTCCCTGGAAAACAAAGTTCTTCCAATGGCAGTTGCTCGGAGGTTTGGAGTTCGATATTTTTATCTACTCTGGCGGACACAGAATTTTGGACGATTTGTCATTCGATTGACATAAAAATGTAAAACGGGCCTTAGGCAACTAACCTCACTTTCGGTTTTTGTAATTTTTATCCTGACAGCTAGTGAAAAAATGACAACAAATCAAAATAATTTATTGAATTTATACTGGGTGCGCCAGAACTTGCGCCCCAGAGAAATATTTCAAGTACAGTTGGAGACAAAAAAATACTTTGGTCGTCAATGTCACTTGAGTGACATTAAATTGTAAAGCATGCTTTAGGACTGTTAACCTTATTTTTAGCTACTGTCAATCATAGTTGACAAGTTGTACATATTTTTGATAGAAAGATATAATAGCTGTCATTAATTGGAAATTGTCATTCATTAAAGCTTGAATTACATTAAAGTGTCAGAAAAGTGACGACCAAAGTATTTTGTCTCCAACTGTAAGATAAGATACCAGGAACATGGAAAAAATGTTTAAAAAATTCGATCTGGCAAAAATTTTTAACATTTTTTATGTCTAATGATACTGATGATCTTGTATAATTTTTTGTAATTATTTGGTAAAGGTACCAAAATTTTGCCAATAAAAGCGACAAATAACATTGCACAGAGTTACAATTTAGCATGGAGCTTCCTTGTTTCCTGTTACAAAAAAATTGGAAATTTATTACTCCAACAGAAATAAATAGAGTCAAAGTGCAAAGTTTAACCTCTCATAACTTCGAAATTTTTATAGATAATTTTTTTTTACCTTTTTTCCATGTACCTGGTATCTTACTTTATATGGCATTTTTCTCTGGGGCGCAAGTTCTGGCGCACCTGTATAAAAACACGTACTGCTGGCATTATTGTTTCGGAAAATCGACGCCAAAGATAAAATTCAATTAAAACTTTAAAATTTTAGTTTCAAACGTCAACCATAATGACAATAAAACGTGGCTTACATTGACATTTTTTGAACTGACATAAATTTAATGTCCAAAATTCCGTGTCAGCCACTGTATTAAACAAAAAAAAATTAAACATGTTTAAAACAGAAAAATAAACAAAGAAATTAGGATATGTCAACTGAGGTGAGAAATATTTTATTACATCAGACTATCTGGCCGAAAGGTGCAGCATGAAGCTTGAGGGTATCACCGAGGTTTGTATGGTACAGTTGCGGAATTAAAATTTCGGACAGTATCTTTCTCACTTCAAAAAGGTCACTGTAAACAACCATTTACTGTCATCATGACTGACATTTGACAATTAAACTTATTTTTTTGTTGTTGGTAAAATTGTTAATTAAATGTCTTAGGAAATTTATTAATTGAACTAAGTGTAATTAAATCATCGCTTTGATATTCTGCCTACCCGTTATTATGCCACAAATAAGTCAAAATGACATGAACAAGACAAGAGTAAAAAATGAGGTTATTAATGTAAAGGTTGTTTCAGAGTTTAAATTATGAAAATGACAATACTGCCCGAAATTTTAATTCCGCAACTGTACAATCAGTCAATCACATTTTGTTTAGATAAGAAAATCCGTTTTTGTTACAAAGTTGATGCATCTCCTATGCAAATAATAACGTTGTGTTTTTGATAAGATTGTAACGTTTGGCAATCCTTCTCAATCATGGGATGAAACGACGTACTTCCCGACCTCTAAAATGTTATCAATTGGCATATTAAGAATAATAGATTATTAATTTACATCATTTATATTAATTAATATCAACACTATAGCCGTAATTGTAATAAAAATTTCGACAAAAACTTTGAAAAATGTTATCAAAAATTATTCCAGATAAACAATTATCAGTTTATTTATTCTACGATCAAATTTTAAAAAAATTTTAATTGTCCCTATTCGAATTGTACCTAATGTTTTAAACTGGGTTAAAGCTAATGCACATTGTAAAAACTTGTACATTACAGTAACTATGAAACTTCATTTTAAAGCATTAATCATCAGTTAGCACATTGTATAACTAAATATAAAACTTTTACTGTTTTTAAATACTTTATTTACTTTATTTCGAATTCTTAGAAATTTAAATAACTTTGATAAAACAATGCAGTATAATAAAGTTTTGCATATTTTAATTCAATACTTAATGAATTAGTCTGAGTGTTGGCAACATTTGATTCAATTTACGAAACAAGAAAGAATTGAAATTAAGTAAATTTTATAAATAAAAAGTGCTTGGCTTTTCATCGTGCTCTTTAATTTTATTACGACATAAAATTTAATGAGCAATGTGGTAGATTGTTAAATAAAATGCAATGTAAAAGTTTGAAATAAAATGTATTAAAGTACATAATTTATGATGAACTTTATTTCTTTCTAGTTTGTTTGAACACCGTGGGAATAACATCAAGTTTATTTAAAAAATACTTGCTCTTTCTGGATTAAATCTAGAAACCGTGTAACTACATTTTGCGTCTGGCCTAGTGCTCCACTGTTGGTGGTAACAACCCGTGTTGATTTATTAGGTTTCAGGCACGATATTAATCTGGAATTGTGCCATGTTCCAGCATGGATAATCGTATCTCATCCACTCGAATCAATTTGGGCTTGCGTTGAGCACTTTATGTAATGCCGGCGACAATAAACTGGTATCCCGATAGCCGATTTGTAGAGTGTTTGGACACATTATTACCTTCAATGATGAGTTATTACTGTTACAAATGGGTCCCGCGGTACGAATTCATAATTACGGGCCTGTATCGATTTAACCCTAATGTTGCAAATATTAAGGCCAGATAAGCTCTCATTAATTTTAAATGTCGATTTTATCGAAACTATTTTAATCTTGTTTCAAATTAATGTTGAGAAAAGTTTTATCTTCAAACATGCTCTGGTAATTCGTTTCGCTCACTAGAAAGCAAATAGGACAAATGTCGGATGTAAAATATCGAACCGAAAGTTGAAACTTAATGCCCTAGAAACATGTTCTTATTGCACATTGTGGTCGAATAAAAAACAATTATGTGGAACGTAAGTTATCGAATTTGGTGTAGAAGATGATCTGTGGCATGCAACCGTTTTCCAGGTAAATGTCCAAATGGCACATGTGTGTCACGTGTGCGGGGAATTATTGAAAAGTCGGCTGACACCCCAAGTGAAATAAGATATTTAAGGAGTAGAAACTTTAAAGTGCAATATGGTTGCTTGCTTGACCATATGACGGTAGCCAAGTCGGGCCACCTGTCCATAGGACGTGCTCATTCAACTATAAGACAACGCTTTCCACCCTACCATATTTCCTTGTAATTGATAACGGCTCATATTTTTCCTTTAGGACACGTGCCAGAGAATCTAATTACTTTCGCATTCATTCGGAACCACCGGCAAACAGTAAAAAAATAAAAAAAACAATCAAATAGAGCTTTTTGGAGCTTTAGTTAACGCAGCTGTATAGTGGGTTGTCTATATGTATTTACCCAAATATTTTTTTTATATTGTTTTTAAACATTTGCAACAATGTTTACAATCATAAAGTAATGTCTATACGGTTGTACTTACAACAAAGTGTATTAATTTTTTTACAGTAAAAAACAAATTAATGCAAAGTTTTAAAATTGGCGCCTCAGTGTTCAGTGAATCAGTAGTGTGTTACAGACAACAAATATCCGGCCAAGAGTTTGTTGTCTTTTTTGTAGTTTTTTTTTGAAAATGTAATTACGAATTGCTAAATAATCACTTTTTAGATGCCCATTTTTAGTTATTATTTACGAATCGAGTCAGTGGTCAAATAGATAATTCCAATCTAACCTCAAATTCTCAAGTGTTACTTACGAGCTTTCATGGGATTTATAGAAGATGAGCTTTCAGAGGTCAGGAAACTGTGCGAAAATGTCGTTCCCGGTTGCAGGCTTGTGTCTTGTGTCAAAACAATGGTACGGGCAGAAATAAAAAGGACTAACTTTAAAGCGTTGATTGTGTGCATACAATTCACTGAAACGTACCCCAGTACACCTTTATTACTTGAGTTAAAATCCAAAACGCTGTCTGAAAAGTTGCTGCAAGGTTTAACAAACGTGTGTGAACAGGAAGCTAAGAAATATTTGGGCAAAGCACAAGTGCTCAATGTTATTAAGTTCCTGCGAAATTTTTTAGATGAGACTCCCCTTTCTTGCTGCTACGATGAAATAAATTTTCTTAAAAAAAGTTTAAACGAGAACGATGAATTGAAATTGAAGCAAAAAACGTCCAGTATTGTGCTGAAAGTAAAGAACAGGAATTATTTTTTGCATTGTAGGGTCATTGTTCCTGATGATTATCCAGTCAAAGCTATTGAGTAGGATTTGTTTTTTCAGGTGTTTCTCAATGTCGTATGATCATTTTTTTTTAGTATTCAAGATATCACAACAAACTTTTCACCTGCTTTCAACAGACATATGATTGGCCAAGCTAAAGAAACAGCGCGAAAATGTGTAGAGCCTCCAATCAAGAAAAAGCCAAATGAACCTCCTTTTCAGCCATCACCTTCATTAAAAAAGTCAGTTGAATTTTTAATTGATTGCGTAAAGCGGCTGCCTTCAGAGAATTGTCAGTTTTGCAATAAAGTCTGTTTCCCTTCAGACCCTAGAGTAGTAATTTAAAACCTTGAAAAAATGAGTTAATTAATTTTTGTTTGTAGGAGCTTGAAGTGGATGAAAATTCACCAAAACACATTGAAAGAATCTATTGCGGACACTTGTTTCATCAAGAATGTTTTTTCAAGTTTATGAAAAAGCCACCATTTGGTAACAAAAAATGTAATACTTGTGGCTCAAGAATCTATCATTTTAAATGGTCACTTTCTGACCGTCTTGCTGAAGACAGATGGGCACATGAACAAGCTCGTGAAAGAGAGCTTCAAGAAGTAACAGAATTTTTTAATTAAACGTAATTGATTTTAATATTTTTAATAATTTGGTGATTAATAAATAAAGCCTACTCGACTTCGATTTTTCTTTTATTTTTTAATTTGTTTAGTTTTTTTGGTGCCGAGTTTTATTTCAATACTTTTTTTGATTTGTACAATGTACAGATTTAGAAAAGATTCATGTTATAAATATTGTGTCATATTTTTCTTTATTTATTAAATACATGTTGATAAATTGTGCACTCTAGTCTCCCATACATTCTAACGACTCTACCCTAAACGATTGATAAAAATTATCCCTTTCTTCTTTATACCGCGCTTTTAACAGATAATCAGTCGCAAGATTGTTTGGCATAAAATTATAATGTAATGCACTTAGTTGACACTGTTGTAAAAACTCCGTTGTTTCAATCAAGCATTTAAATCGGTTGTCTTCATAGCAATCGAGAGGTTTAAAATAATGACACAGTCCCTTTTTGCCGTCGGAATCATTCACTTTAGATTCGGACGCGGAATTTTGGAAATTAACCAACTTCATTGACATCAACAACTTCGTGAAAATTCCACTGTCTTTCGGCGACCCTTCTTCTATCTTTTCCGACTTCTCTTTTTTCATTATTTTGTATTCCGGAATTTTGTCTAGCAGTTTTGCAACGATATCGCCGATGAAAGGCAAGTAAGGAGTGGTTTGGGAAGATAAAAAAGAAGTTTTTTGATAGGCTAGCAAGCGAGGATCTCGATAAAGTCGACACAAAAACTCAAAAACCCTGAAAAAAATCATGCTTACATTTTTTTTTACACAAAATTTAATTACTGGTATTTGCTGGCGTGTTTTTTTCTAACATAAGCCCAAGTTGTTTTCAATCGATAAATCGCAGGGCTCTGAAGCCCAAACAAAACAGTTCGACAAGACTGGAAGTTCGAAATCCTGTGACACTTTTCTGCAACTGTGATAAATCGTGCAATCAAACGTGCCCTCATCTACAACTCTAAATGATATTATTTTTTCGACGATCTGACACGGGAGTACCCGTTCGCATTCATTTTTGAGGATATCACTAGCCACCAAACAAGATATTCTGTGCGAGAAGGCAACCATAGCAGCCACGTTTGGGGCATTTTTCGATGACTGTTGTGATATCAAAACGCTGAGCTCGAGTCCTGAAATTTTCAGGAACAAATCTCTGTCAATCATGGTGAGTTGTTGGGCTAAAGTCGTTGAGTTGAAATCCCAGGCTGTTAATTTGACGTCGACTTTCAACAATCGTTTCAAATGTTGAAGAATCGTCTCCTTGGACGTTTTTTCTTGTTCTGCCATAGATAGGCAGCACAAAGCTATTAGAAATTAATATTTGGTGCTGAATTCAGGACATACCAACATCCCACATGTCGTGTGTTTTACCCCCAAAGACATTAAACCGCATCATTGATTTTCTTTTCTTGGCTTTGCGATATTTGCGACACGTATCTAGGCTTGAATCCGAATCGGAAGATTCAGGTTCTGGTTGGACGCGTCGACGGAACAAACGGCGTTTTTCTACAAACTCTGTTAATTTTTTAAATTTTTGGATTCTTGACTCACTTTTGTGTTTTTGGTGGAATTCACTGATCTTAGCTAAATGACCTTGCAACTCTTGATAAGCATCTTTTGCTGATCGCGGTCGATACCAGTAATCAGGAGTCCAGAAAAATATTACTGGCCTTCGAGGACCCCTATCAATTCATCTTAAAATGTTATCGAGACTTGATCACAAGGACATACCCGCATGACATTTGTTGATTAATTTTTGATTTATCTTGATGCAAGGCTTCGCACGATATGGTTGCAACTAATTGTCTTTTAGTGACCGGTAGTCGTAATTCTGGTTCGATGGGTTGCCGGCGAATTGTGACCACAGAGACGGCCCTTTTGACCTGAATTGAGTATTTTGCTCCAGGACTGATGTTCCAAGGGCCTAAACCGTATAGAAATAGGGGTTGCGGGGCAATTCCATACCGTCGGCGATGCCTAATTTTGCCCTTTCTGGGATTCTCGTTTGATAATTCCCAAAGTCGGACACAATCTTCAGCCATGAGTTCTAGTGTATCTGGGGTATGACCCGTCAACTGGATTTCGTCGTAATATACTGAAGACTGTTTTGGTTTAAGTTTGATAAAAAAATGATTTGGAGTCTTACTTGACCACTAGTTTGGCTGAATCTCCTTGGAAGAATGTAATCTTCAGCAGGGAGGAAAAGCCGACTTTTGCAACCTTCCCTAATTCCTAGACCAAATCTATTAATGTGGTAGCTATCACCGATATGTACTTCGTTAATTTGGCTTGTTTGACTTTTCGGGGCCGAAAAATGTGATTTCCTTTTCGGTTTGACGAATTGTGAAATGCTTGGTGAGTTCATTATTGGTTTATAATTTGGGTAATCTTCGAAATTTTTTCCCATGTAAAGGAACCGATCTGTCCACTTCTGAAATTTGGTACGAGTAGTGGTGTCAAAAATTTTCAGCGTTTTACTACCGGTGCTTGGGTTTTACCAGTACCAAATTTGCACCAGACTTGAGTTAAGCCGTTTGGTTTCACTACTTGTTTACTGTCGACTAGATAAATTGTACTGTTGGTGGATGAGGTGGCAACTGACGTTTCGGACTGAGAAGACCCGGATTCTGGCGACAGAAATTTAACTTTTTCGCACCAGAGGTTCCAGAACATCTATAAATCATTCTAGTGGGATTGAAATTTGTGAAAAAGGACTTACAGTACGGTTCTCGAACCCTCCGAGTTCGAAGTAAAATACGCGGTTGTTGCAGAAATGTGCTTTGATCGTTTGCCGTTTGCGTCTGCGGTAAACACTCAAATTTACGCAATTGATGGGATAGATCGCGATTAGTTCGAACGTTTCGATGTCAGGATCGATTCCCGGGAGAAATTTCACGGAAGATTTTTCAACTGGTGGCAAAACGTCCGTTGCCAGTACTAATTTCGACGGGGTTAAACCTAAATGCACTTGTCTAAGTCCTCTTCCTTCTTTTGTCGTTTGAGCAAAAGGACTTTCGATTAATACCATATCTTCGAAATCACAATATTCCGAAAATAGCAATTTCTGCACACGCTTGATAGACATGACATAAATTTCGGAAGGAAAAACTCACCATTATGATTAGGACTTTATTTTGCACTGCACGTTACGTCAGATTAAAATACACATTATTTGACAGTTTACATGACAAACATACGAATATGATCAACTACAGAGTTATTTCAGGATTATTATGATAGTCATACAGAATATGCTTTATCACAATCAACTCGGCACACTTTCACATTACATAGGATTATTATTCAGCTTATAGAAAATAAGATATTTGCACTTGATTCAACGATTGCACTTCTCCAAAGGCCGTTTCCGAAGGTTAGGACACGTGAAGTGGATGGTCATTTATCACCGTTGGCCTGAAAATATTTCTGTTACAAAAATACAAAAAATTAAATCTAAAACCTATTAGTACAGAATAGGAAAAGACGTTACGACCACACCCCTGATATATTATTTAGAGCAAAATACGCTTCTACTAATTAGTGATGAAAAATCATTAGTCTCAATTACTAAATTAAACAGAAAAGAATAAATTAAACTGAGTTGTTTAGATCTTGATCAAAAATCGGTTAAATGTAGAACTCAGATTGAGATAGAGGTCAAGTATAGAGATTAAAATCTTTCCATAAACTCCAATATCACCTATCAGGTACTAGTTATGTGTTATTGGTTTTGATAAAGTTAAATAAACAGAACACGCTCTCCGCGAGAAGAAAATAGATTTTTAGGATTCATGCGTATTAGTTTTGTTTTCTTTTTTTTTTTTTGATTTCTTACATTTCTCCAAACGTAATACTTTTCTGTTGCATCAACGGTTTATGTGTGCCATTTTTTAAAATTCCGTTGGGTGTGTCCGTCTTCTTATCCCCGGTATTAACATTAATCGTAACGCGATTTGCAAAAGCCTTGGAGAAGTTCTCCAAATTGGTCAAGTCGTTCGTGGACTTGGCCAAGCTTTTAGCAAGGCTACTATTAAGCGAGATGCGCACAGATCCATTACTTTGCGGTTTAATTTGCGGACAATTTAGCAAATTTTCCTAGAAATGGCCCAAAAATTCGAAATTTGGAGCGAGATTTTGGGAGTACCTACCATTGATTCAGTGCGTTTCCGGAGGTTGGACCGGTTGAGGGTTTGGGCGAGTTCGGAGGCCAGTTGATTGGAAATTGGAGTGTTATTGGGGGATTGGTTGGATTCAGTGCCATTTTGGAGGAAGCCCAGTCGGCCAGGGGTCTTCCTCATGGTTCCCGAGGGGTACTCTCCAATTGTCACACTGACGGGTCGTTGCTTTCGTATTGTAGAAGTACTGGAGGTACTACCATTTGACATTTGTGACGTTAAAGGGTTCTTGAAGTAAGTATTAGGGGGTTTCGGTTTGATCCCTCCTGGATTATTGAGCTTGAAGGATTCCAAGGATTCCATTTCGACTGAATCGTTTAAATGGTTTTGACTAGGTTTGTATCCATTCTGCTTTGGTAGGGATGTCGTCGATGTGATACTAAGAGTGTCATAATCGGGGCTGGGGCATGGGGGTGGCTGTTGATACGACAATGTGGAAGTTTTAACCGGTACTGGGGGCGCTTTGCCTTTTTTATTCGATTTAATTGTGTTTGTGTTTGATGCACTATTTGTTGTTTCTCCCATTGGCGGCTGGAATTTTTGCGTCACTTTTGTTTTTGTTACGTTCAATGTTTTGACTTACTGGTGGTGGTGGGGGCGGCGTCGTTGTTGTGGAATTCCGGTTGTTCAGTCGGTCTTGCACACTTTCTTGCATGGAAAGGTTTGATAATCGTTCTGATAATTTCTGCGACAATTCTTTACCAGCGATACGATCCTACAAAAGAAAAAAATATATTATGTAATTACACGCTCAAGCGGCGATGTAAAACTACGGAAGTCAAAACATTACTTTAAATAAGTAATAAAAATTTCTATATTTTCTACAATTTCTGTTTTATCACTTGCATTTATTTGGACCTTGTTTGTGCTTTAAGTACTCATTTAGATACAAAAACCAACCATCAAGGTTGCAAACATAATAAATTTGTTTTATTGTAATAATAACTCACAGTTTGGTATTAATTAAAATGATATTGCACTTTTTAACACTCTCCGAAAATGCAATTTTTTCAATTAATTTTTTTATAGTCTTCTGATTTAACTTACTTCGTATGTTTGTAAGATGAAAACGGGTTTTCCACTTTTAGATCTGTCCATCATTGTGTGTGATAAGTCCGATAAAAATAACGATTGTTTGTTTATGTTAAGCCGACAACAAGTAAGAGCGCTCGCTAGAGAACAACTGACTATACTTATTGTGGTTGAGTTTGCGTTTTACCTGCTTTAAACAATGATGACGTTTATTATCGTTTGACGAAACGCATTTAATGTAGCGAATATACGAATGAAAGACCGGAGATATCATATGTAAACCTACGCAAAATTCGATAAACAATATTACAAGTGATAATTCCGCGGCACACAATTTTGTGAAATGAGTAAGTAGAGATAAAAGTCGGCACGAGTGGCATTTTCCCGACTTAAGATTGTCATTTAAATTAAATTAATTGCCTTGGAAAGTTAAAAGTAGACACTCATTATAATCGGACACTAATCAAGTTTGTTTTACACTATACTATTTTTTAAATTGTTTAATAATACGGTTTACGTGTTTGTCTTGAATAAGAAACAATACTTTCTTCACTAATAGAGCTACGCTACGTACCTTTCATTCAAATTTAATTAGGATCAGTGTAGAAATATTCCGTTTTCTTTATTGTAGTTTTCAAACAAAAGGATTATAACAATAATTAAACCAGATTGACGAAATACTTGTTTCGTTTCAGTTATGTAACGACGATTTTGTCGAATAATGAAATCAAATGCCTGTTTCAGGATACAGTTCCCATGTTCTTACATGACGGGACAGTAAATTCGCTCAATTTGACACTCGAGGTTGAGAAAAATTATAATGTGGCAAAAAATGTTACAAGATCGCGCACAAAATTGTGAACAAATTAAAGATGCAATTAGGGTGGTTAATATTTTTGTTTCTCAATATTTTTCAAGGATTTTTGTAAACGTTTCAATCAGTCACGTGTTGTGTTTGTAATATAATGACCTGTGAAACACTATACTAATTAGTAATTAGTTACTTGATGTTAATGTTTAAAAAATTATATGAATTTGAAGTAAATGGTTAACTGCAGAAAACATCAAAATTGGCCCAAATTTGTTTCTTAGTAACAAACAACAAAATGAAATGAAACAAGATCTTAATTAATACTTTACTTCTTGAATAATTATTTCTTTCAACGTTGGCGTTGCTTTGTTATTTGGGAGACATAATTATTTCACGAGAAAAAATTTTGTGGTTTGATACATTGTAGTTGAAAGGCATGTGTGGTTTGGCCAAACGACGTGATTACTCATAAACCTTCGTATGAATCTTATCGATCCGCATCGGTCCATTTTTTAAGGCAATTTATAACCACAGAGATCTCCACTCAAAGAATTTGCAACAAATTACCGTAAAAACGAACATTTCAGTGTAATTTCGTGGTGTTTTGTAAAAGTATGCGATTACCTAACTCGTGCACAAAGTCGGCCTTGAAAGCAGGAAGACCGCTAAACGAGACTAATCTCTCATCTCATTGTGATCGTCCGGAAATCGACAAGAAACAACCGTTTTCCGGACATCATCGTTTAGTATTCAATATCCGTTGAGGTCTTTATGCAATTTGCAAAGTGGGTCAATTCGTGATATGAGACTCACCAGAGTTTCTTTCCCAACAGCAGGTGCGGCGGAATCTGTTTTATCTTCGTTCTCGGGAGCTTTGAACATCTTCCGGTGAGCTTTTTTAAACTCGTCCATGAGCTTATTATGCTGGCTTTGCTTTTCGGATGTCACTCCTTTAAGGATTTTCTTCATTTGTAGTTGCTCGTCGATGGATGGCTTGTCTTGTTCGGTTTGTTTCTTCTGGAATTTGAATAAAGTTTAGAGAGTGGTGAAAAAACGGTTTTTGGGTATTACTTCAGATCTCCTTTGTATTTCTTGACAGATAGCGCTAGATAAGCTGCTCGAGGCTGTACTGCTCCTGCTAACCAAACTACCGAAACTGCTGGTCGATGAACTCTTGACCAAAGTGTTTTCAGTCTTATTTTCTTGCTCAGTGTTACTTCTGTGCACTTCGACCATTACGGTTTTAGTCTCGTGCTGCTGCGAAACGAGACAAAGCTCGGCCAGTTTGTTTCTATTCGCGTTATCGATGCTTTGGCACTCTTCTTCTGTCCCGTTGTTTTTTATAGTCGTTCCATTCTCGGATAGATTGATGATGGTAGGTTTAAAGTACTGTTTCTCTTCACTTTCACCATCGTCCCATCCAATCTTTTCCCATTTTTTCGATTTGAGTCGGTCAAGTCGATCTTCCAAGTCGAGAGATTCTTCTTTAACTATGGAAAGTCGTTTCTGATCAGACCACGACGGACTTTGGTCTCCCGTCACCGAGCTCGCCGAACTATTATATCCACTGGACTCCCCTGGAAAAAGCTCCGATCCGGCAGATTTACGGACTATTAAATCGAGCTGGCGTGATGTTTTCATTAAATTTACAGCCTGTAAAATGTCGAAGGGTGGTTAGGGCAACAGTTTATAACGTGCGTGAATGTCGTTCAAAATACCTCGTTAAAAGGTATGTCGCTAAAGTCCACGTTGTTGCAAAAAAGGATCTGATCGCCGGGTCGAAGGCCAGCTTCGCGTGCTATTCCGCCCTCTTTTGTAAACTGAATGAAGATGCCAGGCTTCCATTCCGGACCTTTGCAAATCCTGTAACAATACAATGACGCCTCAAGCACATTCATTTAAACGCATCACGACAAGACGCGCAAAAATACAACACGCTCCAAGGATTATTATGCGCGATTCTGCAAAGGTTAAAAGCCAAAACTAATAAACCACACAACGGGATTAGTGCGAACAAGAATGCTTCGACACGGGAATTATTCCCATTACGGCGAAATAAAAATCAAGTTTAAACGTGATCCACTGCAAAAACTACAGC